GGGTGTCCCAGAAGAAGAGAGAGAGCAAGATACCAAAAACATACTGAAATAGTGACAGAAAACTTCCCCCACCTGGTGAAAGATTTAGACTTACAAGTCCAGGAAGCACACAGAACTCCAAACAAAAGGAACCCAAAGAAAACCACACCAAGACACATCATAATTAAAATTCCAAGAGCAAAAGACAAAGAGACAATATTAAAAGCAGCAAGAGAAAATCAGGGAGTTATCTATAAAGGAGCACCCATACGATTGTCAGCTGATTTCTCAACAGAAACCATGCAGGCCAGATGGAAATGGCAAGAAATATTCAAGGTGATGAATAGCAAGAACCTACAGCCAAAAATACTCTACCCAGCAAAGCTATCACTCAGAATCGAAGGCCAGATAAAGAGCTTCACAAATAGAAAAATAAAAAACTAAAGGAATTCATCACCGCCAAACAAGAATTATATGAATTGCTGAAGGGGGTTCTTTAGGAAGAGAAAACAAAGATAAAAATTATGAACAACAAATATATAACTATCAACAAGTGAATCTAAAAACCAAGGAAATAAAAAAAAAATCTGATGAACAATATTAACTGTTGAATATAATAGAATCAGAGGTTTGGAAGGGGAGTGAACTGACGATTCTTGGGGAAAAGGGGAGTGGGGGGTGCAAGAAGAGACTGAACGTAAACTGTGCGCCTATGGCTGAGGACAATGGGGGGTGGGGAAAGGGCAGAGGGTGGGGTGGAGCAATAGAGGGGGAAAAAATGAGGAACATTTGTAATAATATGAACAATAAAGATTTATTAAAAAAAATAAATAACCCCAGAACCCAACTACTGACCCCCACTCTCCGGCTGCACCCCGTCCAGGTGCCTCCTTCCTAGTGTCCAGCATAGCTCTGACCTGGCCTCCCCTCTCCAAATGTAGGCAGGCCGCTGTCCTGCTCACTGGTGATCCCTCCTGCCTGGAACAGTGCTGGGCACATAGCAGCCACTCGAAAATATTTGTTGAATTAACAAATGACTAAAAGGAGGATTGGTTCTAGTTTGGTAATGAAACCTTTCTTCGAAACCAGGACTCAAAGCACAAGAGCACAGCAAGTGTTTTTGAGGAGGCTGCCATCTAGTGGCTGAATTCCTTCATAGCTCTGTGGGGGGCTCAACATTTCATGTGACCCTGAGATGTGCAGTTAATGAGGTAGCAGGGAGGACTACCGCCTGTGCACAAGGGGCCATCCTATCCTCTAAAACCTATGCCTGTTGGATGAGATGAGATATACCCAAAGGATGCCTTGGAGAGAAAGGGAAGAGGAGCATATCTGGGCTGTAAAGCAGATCTCTTAATAATGTTGATGTTTTAAAAATTAGAGGAGTGGATGTGGAGTGTGGAAACATTGGGTGGGCGTGGGAGATAGAAAGCCAAACTCATTTGAACTCTATGAAGCCAGGCTCTCCTTCAGGCTGCCGTCAGAATACAAGGAGGTAACAGGCCAGCAGAGGGGTGACAGGAAGCAGGCAGCAGCTGGTCCGTGGAGACAGTGGCTGCAGCCCTACCTCATGGCTGATACTAACTGGCAGAGCTCAGGGCATATTGCAAAGCTGGATGCTGGAACCTAGACAGAGCCTAGAAAAGGCTTCCAGAAAGTCCATGCGCCCCCAATCAAGCAGTTTCCATAAACCCTGAGTTAGATAGTGAATTAGCACTACAAGAAAGTATGAGCAACCATAATATTATTACCAAAAGACTGGTAATTACTGGCAAAGTGCTTCTCCAAAAGAGATTGTTGTTCAACTCTCATCACCTGGTTATGCTAATATATAAGTCCCTTGGTTGATCTCTGACACCCCTCTCCCCAGCCTTCCCTCTGAAGGGTGCTGGTGTCTGCTAAGTCTATCCCTTGAGTGTGTCACTTGTGGAAGTGGTTGGGTGGTGCTTTGACATGGTCTGAAGCTATCTACCAGGTATTCTGGCACTGAGGCCTCCCAGGTGGTACAGGCCAAGTTCAGCTGCCACCCAGCATGAGCTGCAAAGTCATCTGCAGATGGTTGCTGCTTGTGTTGGGCTTGGAGCTGCCCAGGTGAGGCCAAGTTGTGAACCAAGACTGGCTGCTGCTAATAACAGGTCTGGGGCCACGTAGCCAGAGTATAGGGCATACTGAGGCCAGATTCTGCTGCTTATTTGAGAGACTGAGCCAAGACAGACCATTTGTATGGAAAAGCCACTTGAAACAGTTTGGATGGGCCTGCAAGCAAGATGGGGTTGGGTCTCATGGAATCGCCAGGATGAGGGATGTCTCTGAAAAGGAAGAATGACCTCTGCCATCACTTTTGTCTGACAGAAAGCTGCCACCCGGAGCTCTTGCCCTAATATAAGACAATTCAGTTCCTCCCTGTATGTCCCTGGTAGCTTTCTAGCTGCTGTCCCAGCACTGGAGTTCAGAGAGTGTGAGCCCAAGTAAGTCCATGTGCAGGTCCTATAAGAGGAACTGCCTGGAATTCAGCCACAATCCCTGCTGGTTTTTACAGCCACAAGTTATGAGACTTCTCTTCCTGGCACTGGAACCTTGGCCTGCTGTGGGGCTAGGACCCATGGTTCCTCAGGAGGAACCTCTGCAGCCAAGATATCCTTCCCAATTTTTATAGATCACATGTGGGTGTGGGACCAGCCTGTTCTGCATCTCCATCCCTCCTACTAGTCTCAATGTGGTTTCTTCTTTAAGTCCCTAGTTGCAGGATGTTCATTCAGTCAGGTTGCAGGCAGTTCTGAATGAAGGCTGCTCTGCAGTTGTAATTTTGATGTGGTTGTAGGAGGACTCAAGTACCACATTTACCGATGCCACCATTTTGACCAGAACTTCTTTTCTTTTTTTCTTTTTTTTAAGAGTAGCTTCTCTATTTAGTAGCTTGATCAGAAGTCTTTCTTTTGTTCTCCAGTAGGTGACACGGAAGCACAATGTTTAAATTTCTCTGGCGTTGCTATGGTTTGTCAGATCCTGCTGGATGGCGGAAACTGTCTCCCATTCCTGGGGAGGGGAGCTTCTCCGCTGTGGCCAGGTCACCTCAGTTTCAGGGCTCCGCACCCATGGGGCAGCGTGGCCAGGGGTCGGGTTCCAGGCCTGTGAAATCCCAGTGCTGTGCTCTGCAGAGATGGGTGGGGGTGGGTGAGCTGGGAGAGGCCTATTGGTATGTCTGTAGGAATGGTGACCGCCAGACCTCAGCTGCCTCGCCTTTGTGTCTTCGCTCTGTCGTCTTTGTTACTGTGATTAGTTGCCAGGTGCACCTGCTGCTCAGGGGGAACTGTTTCTCTCCCTCCAGTTCTCAGGGCAGCAGATAACATGCTCTGTAGCTCAACACTCACGGCTGTAGCTCCTCATGGGGCTGGCCACTAGTCTGGAAGGGTAAGGGGCGCCAGCTTGGCTCCATGGCTGTTTTTCTGCCTGCTGTGGCAGACACCATACAACCATGGTGGCACTCTGAAACACCTCTGCCCAGGTCACTGGGTTCGGGTGCAGCCCATATCAACACTGCCTTACACCTGCTCACCTCACAGCATCTCTGTATTCTTCCGGGGTGCTGGTGGCACCCCGATACCTCCCCTCTCCCGAGGCTGGCAGTGAGCGATGGGCTGCATCTGTGGCACCTGTTTCTGTTCTTCTCCTTTCCCACCCCACCTGCTCCCTCAGACTTGCCTACCTCAGTGTGAGGATTTCTCAGATGTGATTGTATGTGAGCAGGGAATCCTTTATTGACTATAGCTGTTCAACTTGTAACTTCAAAGTAAGAGACCACAGTAGCCTTTCTCGTCACCTCTGATGTCACTCCTCTATTCTTTCATGTTTTAAGTTTCCTATGTTCTGGACTCAAATATAATGGTTAAACAATCTTTTCTGGCCCGGCCGGCATGCTCAGTGGTTGAGCGTTGACCTGTGAACCAGGAGGTCACAGTTCAATTCCAAGTCAGGGCACATGCCTGGATTGTGGGCTCGGTCCCCATGTTGGGATGTGCCGGAAGTAGCCAATCAATAATTCCCTCTCATCAATGATGTTTCTATCTCTTTATGATGTTTCTATCTCTCTCTAAATCTTTCCTACCATTTCCAAATCTTTCCTACCCTTTCCCTTCCTGTCTGAAATCAATATATATCTTATATCACAAGAGCCTAAGCAACCATTACAGTGGAAGAACCAGAATGACAGGTCGCTATGATGAACACTGACCACCAGGGGGCAGATGCTCAACACAGGAGCTGCCCCCTCATGGTCAGTGCGCTCCCACAGGGGGAGCACTGCTCAGCCAGAAACTGGGCTCACTGCTGGTGAGCACAGAGGCTATGGTGGGAGCCTCTCCCGCCTCCACACAGCATAAGGAGCTGTGAGCTGAGCGGTAAGGAGCAGTGAGCAGGTGGGCAGTAAGGAGCGAGGGGTCCTGGACTGAGAGAGGGCACAGGCCTGGCTGCGTGTGTGTGTGTGTGTGTGTGTGTGTGTGTGTGTGTGTGTGTGTGTGTATATAACCTTTTCTGTTTCTCAAAAGGCTAATGATGCTGAGAAAGTTCACATTTCCATGGCCACAACCCTCTAAGCAACTCAGAGTGCAGAGCATCCAATCTCCATGGGCTATTGAATACCACATCTGTGAGGGACCTACAGACCTGGCTCATTCACTCCTCAGTGCCTGGTGCCCCAAGACAACCCCAGGACATATGCCACCTTGCTGGACTTCTCACAGGCACCATGGCAGATGCACAATTGGAGGACAGCGGGACCCACGGCATCCTCGTGACCTCTCTGTTCTTGTCTGTCTCCCCTAGATGTAACTCCATGGGCTGGATGTTCCTAAACCAGTTCCTGGCCCAGAGTAAGTGCTCCAACATACCTGACGAGGGGAGGTATGCATCAATCTCTGACGTGCTGTCCTAGGCCAAGAGGAGTGGCCTGCTGGGCCCCCCTGACATGGGCCCCTCCTACCTGGGCCCCTCAGACATGCATTCCTGACCTGCGTCCCTCCTACCTGGGTGGCTCCTCAGGCGGCTCTCAGTAAGCTCAGAGAGGGTTCCGGCTGTTGAAGTCTTTTTCAGGCGAACTACCCCGGAAGCGGCGGTACTTCCCGGCTTGTTGAGCATGTCCTCACTGCTGGCTCTCTTGAGCTGAGAGAGAGGCAGAGGGAAAAGGATCAGGAGGAGTGCTGTCCACCAGGAGGCCTGGGAGCGATCCCGGCCCAGTGGCTACTGCGCAGCAGTGGCCCTTGGCAGAGCAGTCAGTGCGAAGGGGACAATGCAAAGCTCCACACACCGTGAGTGTCTTTTACAGGCTGGCGCAAATCTTTCCTACCATTTCCAAGAATATTATAAGATTAGGGGTGAATAATACCATTGCCCCACACTTCAAATAATGAATTCCAAAATACCCTGTTTTCCTGGGAAAATATTTTTTAAAGAATGGAAAAAAGAACTGTGAGATGCACAAAAGTCAGGGCAATGCACAAAACAATTCAAGGACAAAATTAACTTAAAAATACACTTCTGGAGGAAGCAGAGAAAGAGATGTACAAGGCCTGGGGTCTACGTGCTCAGCACCGAGTACTCTGCCTGGGATCTCCCATAGACAAGGAGTTCCAAGGGAAGAAAGGACGTGTTATTTTGAGGCCAAAATGACAGAAAGAAAAGCAGAACCCTCACTCCTTTCTGCCCTCTTCTCTGTCGTGGAAAGGGAGACCAAACATTGTGGGAAGAAACTGAAGTTTACGCGGGGACCCATGCAGCACCTCCGGCCTGCCTTTCTCCAGGTTTCACAGCCCGTGTGACGAGGACGTCACCAGTCCCCAGGGTAGTGGTCACTACATTGAACCTGCGATGGAAGCTGTAAATGACCTTCAGCCACAGCCGGTTTGAGATGAAAACTCAGGCAGTGCTGTCTGCCCCGAGGAGACACGGTGGGAGCCTGTGGCCAGCAGGAGCAGCCTTCATGTCGACCACCGTACTTTATCTCATCTGCGGGGCCCACTGCTGTGGAGACTGTGGGTGGTTTTATGCACAAGGAGGGCTGGGATTCCAGATTTGTATTTGGCAGATGTCTTCCTGTGTTTCATCTCTGCAACTTCACTGAAACCACAGCATGGATGGCAAGATCCAGACACCAGTGCACAGATGTAGCCGAAGACCACACGTGTGGGCTGCTTATTGCTGGGATGATGATATGGGCCCTCAGTTCTCCAAACCTGTCCCTCTGCTGACTACGTCCACTACTGCAGAGCTACGTCCACTGGAGCTGTTCCAAACTAGCTCGCACTTCCTTGGAGAGACCATGGCTGAGTGAATGGAGTACGGTCTGAGCGAGCTTGTTGAGCAAACATAAGCTTTATGAGAGACAAATTAAAAATTAAAAATATACAAACATAAGCTTAACGAGAGACATTTCCTGCAAGTCTGGGCCTGATACAAGGAGTGCTTCCCTGCAGTCATGGAGACTCAAAGTGGATGGATGAGGATGAGGATGTGTTCCATGCCTGCAGGCCGGGAAGAAAGGCCTCAGGGAAGACATGGCCTCGCTGCCCGCTGATGAGCCTGCAGGAAGGCTGACGAGCCAGCGGGATGGCTGCTGAGAACCCACCTGGTGCGCAGCGTCACACATGCAGGAGCGGACCGAGCACTGGGACACTAATCTACACTCTGAACCGAAACACGCTGCATGGAGGGCTATGTTTTAGGAATCAGTCCAAGCAGCTTCACTGAAACCTGATAATGGGGTGTGATTTTCTTGGGGAGGCTCTATGCAGTCATATCCTAGAGAGTATGGTTAGCTGCACTAATGTTTTTATACAAAGAATACATAAAAACATTTTGAGGTTTTAAAGACAACTATAAAATAAAATTGTTTCATCTGCTGGTGAAAAAAAAAGAGGGTGAGCCTTAAATGTCCTGTCACTGCTGGTCCAGGAAATGACACCAAGTTAGTGAGAAAGACCAAAGGACTTCTCCCAACCACCGTACGTCTTTAAAGAGCATTACTGAAGAGGGATCCTTCTAGAACAGTGATTTTCAACCTGTTTGCAGCAAGAACTTTTAAAACATGCACTACCTGACTATTTAGTCACGGGCACTGACCTCTTTCCTTTACTTCGTCAAATAAAGAGTGACAACAACCAACACAACAATAGCCATCCAGTGTGAATGAATCAAATTTATATATTTTTTTGTCAAATCAGCAAAAAATCTCTTTTTTTGGTGTGCCACAGAATTGAGTAATTACTGTGTGTGCCATGAGATGAAAAGGGATGGAAATCCCTGTTCTAAAACCCCACAGACAGGGAGTGCCCAGAGCCGTTAGGAATGTATCTGACACATGGAGAAAACAGTATGGGAAAGCCTTCAATCAGCAGAGACTGGTGTGAGCAGCCCCGCCCACTGCACTGGTCCAAAGGCCCTGCTCCATCCTCCGCCACTGGCTTCGGGTCATTCACTGAGAATTAGGGTTTAAAGGTTTTCATGATTTAAAAAAACATCTTCCACTTTGCATTGTTTCATTTCAGGGAGCCACACACCTCCAGAGTAGCTTAAAAGAGAAGAAATGCTAATACCAGGTGCCAGTGAGGTGGTGGGATGAGCTGACACCCATGTGGGAAAACTGGCCAAGCCCACTGACGCTGAGCATTTGCAGCCATTCTGTCCTGGGTCTATTCCCCAGAGAAGTGAGGACACAGGTCATCAAAAGAATGTTCAGCCCAGTGGGCATGGCTCAGGGGTTGAGCATCGACCCATGAATCAGGAAGTAAAGTTTTATTCCTGGTCAGGGCACATGCCTGAGTTAAAGGCTTGACCCCGAGGTGTACTGCAGGAGGCGGCTGATCAATGATTCTCTCTCATCATGGATGTTTGATGTTCCTCTCTCTCTCATGCCCTCTCTTCCTCTCTGAAACAATAAAGATTTTATATATACATATATATATATATATATATATATATATAAACACATACATACGTATGTATGTATGTATGTATATGTATATATATATAGAGGAAGTTAAGAATTGGCAAAAGTAACTGATGGGGACAGAAGGCAGACAGTTACTCTAGGGAGTTACTGAGCTGAAAGAAGCTTCTGGTGCTCAGATGTTCTACATCTCGACTGAGTGGGTCACACCAACACAGACACAGTCAACCGTCAGTGAGCTGGGAGCTGGGTCTAAGATGAAGGAACTTTGTTCTTACGGTAAGCATGCTGTGCCTCCATTACAAAGGAAAAGAAGATTGGGAAGGGGATTATAATTTGGGCAAAGCTTTGATTCCACCCCTGGAAAGGCTAGTCTATTTTTCCCCATTTCCCCCCATTGTTATTTTAAATGTTTATTGTGGCAAAATATACAACATAAAATGTACCATTTTAACCACTTTGAACAGTGAGCTCGGTGGCATTAAGTACATTCACGGTGTACACCCTCGCCACCATCTTCTCCAGAACCATGTCGTTGTCCCAAACTGAAATTCTCCTCATTAAACAGGAACTCCCCATCCTGCTTCCTCGGAGGAAAGATGTGCAAGTCTTAGTCTTAGTCAAGCAATATAGGTCAAAATCTTTAACAAATTATTAATTAAAAAACAAATTGCTACCCAGCTGGTTTGGCTCAGTGGATAGAGTGTCAGCCTGCGGACTGAAGGGCGCAGGTTCTATTCTGGTCAAGGACATGTGTCTGGGTTACGGGCTCAATCCCCATTGTGGGGCATGCAGGAGGCAACCCATCAATGATTCTCTCTCAACATTGATTTTCTATCTCTCTCTCCATTCCTCTCTGAAATCAGTAAAAATATATTTAAAAAAAAATTGCTAACACTGAAAGGATGGTTTGCATGCACTTAAAGATTTTCACAATTTAAAAAAATTGTGGGGGAAATCGTGTTTATATTCGTAGTTTATTGGATGTGAACATAAACACATCTTCCGGCCCACTCTGTGACTCCATAACAACAGGCCCCAATAGCCTTGGGGTGGACGCAGAAGTCACTCGGTGGCCGGCCAGGAACTGCAGAACCACTTTTCTGTTCCCCATTTCAGTGTAACGGGTTGCTGCACCCCAGCTCTCCAGTGCCCACCAGGTCACCAGTGTAATTTGTATATGACAACAGTGCATGGCGTCAGCAACCTCTTCTCCACAGAAAAAATAGCTGCTATTCACTCTGCCTAGAAGCATGCCCGGTACCTCCCTAGGTCCCCAAAGCAAAATCTATTCTGAATGTAGGCTTTGGAAACTCTCCAGACCACACACCAAATAAAAAAGGGAAACCACTGTAGTTAAGGGAATTTTAGTACAAATGATGTGCACTTGGTTCTGCTACTTTCTCTACTGATGCTCTGCATCACTAAGGTCAGCAAATGTCACCCAGAGAAGTGGAGAATCAGATTCCTACTTCTCCATCTCTCCTCCTCACGAAAGGCCCAGGGAGCAGAGGGTCAGTCTGCAAATCCAACTAAGGAGAGGGCAGCGGGGCCAGGGGTGAGGCTGCCTCTGCAAACCCGCAGCCTCTGCCCACGTGGGGCCAGAGGGCAGATCGCCTCAGCCCTCCTCCGCAGGAGGTGAGAGGACAGGCAGGGGGGAGAAGCAGAGGACAGGAGCCCAGGCAGTGGGGAAGTGGTGGTCCAGTTTGTATTGTCAGCACATCTGACCACGGAAGTCAGGTGGGCTGCTGGCCATGACGTCTCCTCCTGGTGCAGGGGAGTATGCGCAGCCGCAAAGCCCTCAGGGAGCAGCTCGTTCCCCGGCACCTCCCACGGGAAGCCCACTGGAGAAGATTTGCTGCTCAAAGCTTTTCCAGGAAATAGGACATAAAGACGAGGGCAATTCTCCGCATCCTTCCAAGAAAAAGTCACTGTCTCTTGGATGCAGCGCAGGTACAGAAAGCTCCTGGTCTCAGTTACTGATGTGGGATCTTGCCCGGCTCCTGGCTACATTTCTGGCTTTGTTTCCTGGCCCTGAGAGCAGCCACGTGAGGTTTCTGGTTTGTGACAGATGGTTGGGCAGGAATGTGCTTTGGCGTTGCTTTGGTGCATTTCACCAACTGGCTGATGGTTAAACTGCCAAGCACCGCCAGGAAAGCTTACAAAAGGAAAAACGTGTAAATCGCTCACTAAATTCTTCTCAGTTGCACTGAGGTCGTGGGGGAAATCTGGAACTCTAAAATCGTCACACCGAACCTAGTGCAGTCTTTAAAGGCAGATGCCATGTGAAGGTTGAAGCACTCTCACACTTGGCACTCCTTGGCATGTGGAGGCTCAGGAATGCATGCTGCTGCTGGACCCTGACCCCGATCTGCCACCACCACCCCCGGTGCTGACTCCCTGGGCCTCGGCAGAGCCTGGGCACTTGCATTTCTATGTTTCCCGGTGATGCTGACGCTGCAGTGCGGGAAGTGCTTTGAGAACCAGTGTTCAGAGCAACAGCGTCGAAGGAAATACAGTATGAGCCACAGGCATAGTTGTATACTGTCTGGCAGCCACATTATAAAAGTACTGTAACTGCTGGACAAAATTAATATAAGAATAGATTTTCTTAACCCAATACATTCAAAATATTATCAATCAACGTCAGTATACTGCTAAGGCTCCTGCCTTGTTTTTGTCCTAACTCTTCTGAGTCCGGTGTGACTTACATTGAGCACATCTGGGTTTTGACTGGCCACGTCCCAACGGCTCAGCTGCAGCATGTGGCTTGTGGTACTGCCCGGGGTATGCGGGGTTAGAACACGCCCCAAGAAAGACTGCATAAGATTGACGGGGTGCCCAAAACGTGTAAGGAACATGCTTAAATGATACGACCCTGTTCACAGGGGTCTGGGCAGGCTCAGTACATGTCTAGCCAAGCAGATCTTTCCCTATTTTTTTCTTTAGTTTTCTTTAAAGGAAATCAGAAGTAAGTAAATAAGCAGCCAGGCCTTCCAAGGAATGTGAGAGGCTTGCCTTGTGGCATCTCTGCTCGCACCACACTCTGAAGACCAGACACCAGAGGTGACACAGAAGCGGAGGCAAGTGGAAGGGAGTAACAGAGTCTTGGGTGTTCCAGTGCCGGGTCCCAGCCTCTGAGCTCCAGGCTGTCCCTCTGTCCTGTCCACAGTGACATGGGAGCCTTAGGGTCTGTTCAGTCTATTTCTTTCCAGTCTGAGCTGGCTCAAGTCAATGTTCTGTCATTTGAGAGGCCAGACTGAGGTGGCCTGCTCGCCTCAGCGCACTCCCACGCTTCTGGGCACTAGTCTTGACTGGCAGGAGCAAGCCAGCGAGCGAGGACTCCCCAACCCCTGGGCCACGCTCCCCCTGCTTCTCTCTCTCCCTTCAGGGGGCAGCACTGGAAGTAGGAGATTTCCCTCCACTTTGGTGGATTTGTTTCTGTTTCCTGGTTTTGACCAAAGACATACCTATCCACCCCTGCGTACCTGCTTACTAAGAGCAGCTAGAGGGAGATGGGTGCACCCTTTACTTCCCGGCAGGTCTCATAGCCAACCCCAGGGGCCGGGTCGCAGTCTCCGAGCTTTCCTGTCACCATGACCTTTCCCTGCGTGGGCAGGGCAGCACCCTCTTCCCCGCTCCTTCCCTTGGCCCTGTCACTCTCCTCCTCAGACCCAGGCCTGCAGGTAGCAGATGCTTTTCTAAGCCTGAGAGACAGAGTTGCATGCAGCCATAAAGACAGCCACGCAGAGTAGGGCTGTGTGGGACACGCGGAGCAGGGGGGTGTGGGACACTGGAGCAGGTGAGTGTGGGACACGTGGAGCAGGGGTTGAGGCAGTAGGAGCTGCGGCAGTGAGGAGAGCGCTGTACAGTGTGAAGGGATGATGCCTGATAGGAGGGTCTTTGAGCACAGACTTAAAGGAGGAGGAGGGGGAGGCTGCTCAGAGGGAGGAAATGGGCAGAGAGCAGCGAACCCACTGCAGCAGGAGTGAGCCCGGCTCATCAGAGGGACTGCCACTGAGGCCAGAGAGCCTGAGGCCACAGCAGGGAGCCAGGGCAGGGGGAGGGCGATGGCTTCCAGCAGGAATGGGGCAGGTCTCCAGTGCTGAGCACTCTGAATGAATGCAGAGAGCCCTCGAGGGTTCCATGCGGAGAAGTGGCGTGATTCACTGATTCACGAGTTAAAAGGACCACTGGCTCTGCTGAGGATGAATAATGGTGCAAAGACAAGCAGAGAAGTCATGGGAAGCCCGAGCAGGGAAGGCAGTGGCATGACCAGGTGGTCCCAGCGGAGGTAAGGGGAGGTGATGGAGTGGCATCTATTTTTAAGGGAGAATTTTTGGCATCTTGCTGATGAACTATGGGATATGAGGAGTGTTCAAAAATGATGCCATGGGCTCTGGCCTGGGCAGCCAAAAGAATGGGGCTGCCAAGAACTCCACTGGGGAGATTCAGAAGCAGGCTAGGGGAGGCGTGAGCCCTGGAGGGGGAGGCCTCAAGATGCAGTTTGGGACTTGTTACATTGGGAGTACCTTTCAGGTATCCAACAGGCAAAGTCACAAAGGCAGTGGGAGGATCCTGGTTGGAAACCCAAATATGAATGGCAAGAACACATGGGATGCACAGACACCACACCTGCCCCAGGCTGCATCGCAGGTCAGTGCCCAGAGAGCGTCCCAGTCCTTCCGCACAGTCAGGCTGCAGCACATGCGGATGGCACTGTGGGTCCTTTCTTTCTTTCTTTCTTTCTTTCTTTCTTTCTTTCTTTTTAAAAAAATATATTTTATTGATTTTTTACAGAGAGGAAAAGAGAGGGATAGAGAGTTAGAAACATCAGTGTGAGAGAAACATTGATCAGCTGCCTCTTGCACACCCCCTACTGGGAATCTGCCCGCAACCAAGGTACATGCCCTTGACCAGAATCAAACCTGGGACCTTTCAGTCCACAGGCCGATGCTCTATCCACTGAACCAAACAGGTTTCAGCACTACGGATCATTTCATTATAAACTAGCTTCCTCTTATAGCTAGAATATTACACTAAATTTTCAAAAATGTATGTGCAAGTAGGTTATACTACCTGACTTCATCGCAGGAGGTGTTGGATGTGACAGAGTAACTAGAAAAGAGCTAAGGCCCAAGGACTGTGCCCTGGGCCACCCAATATTTGAAACCAGGGCAGGGGGAGTCAGCAGGGAGACCCCTGCGTCCGAGGAAGGAGGCAACTGAGAGAAGAAGACATTCCCAGACGTGGGGCCGAATCAAGTGTTGACTCTGCTACTTGTCAAGTAAGACAGGATGGAGACTGCCCTGGATCACCAGATCCTTAGTGATCCTGACCTCACCTGGTGGGTGCTGCGGCGGCGCTCTGCCTGGACAGTCCGTTAATCTAGAGCAGGGTCCTGCCTTCAGGGAAGCATCTGGCAGGTCTCTGTCTCCATCCCAAGCGGCCCTGTTACAAGGCCTTTGCTCTGCTCCTTTAGCTTCCCCCAGGCCCTCCCTGGAGGCCTTGCTCCAGCCCTGGAGGCCACTAGCTTTACTCCCGGCCCCTCCCATCCCCCCGAGCAGACACTGGACACCCAGCCCTGGCCCTGTGCATCCTGGGCTATACCTTGCTGAGCTGGGACTCACACGCCAGCGAGGTTGAAGACTTAGAACTCTTCATGCCAGAGGCGGCTGTGGCAAGGGGCCGTGTGCGGTCACTCCCATGGCTTCCCACTTTGGTGACTGCACTCCAGGGCTTGGCTGCACTCCTCATGCTTGTCCAGTGGGTGTGTCTCTCTGTAGAAGAGCAGAAGAGAACAACATGTGTCCGCTGAGTGACACCACCGAGCTTTACCCCTACACCACACCCACCCTGACATCACAGAGAGCCAGCGCCTATGACCGGCTGCAGATGGTTCTACTCCTAAGAAGATGCCCTGGCACTAGGATGATTTTTTGCAACTTCACAACAGCTGTTACCAAACATAAAGATGTGCAGTATTATTGATGTTCCGACATTATTCCTCAGCATATGATGGTTTCTTCTCAGGCAGGGACACCTACTACAATATTACTACACAAACCCATACACTATCTGTGTGCATCTATTTCCCCAGCTTGAGTCCAGACACACTGTGTCCATAAGCCTTGAAGCTTTAGAGCTAACAATGGCACAACCTACCTCATTTTTAAATAGGCATATGTGAATTACCACATTTTTCCGTGTAGAAGATGCCCCCCCCCTTTCCAACCCCAAATTAAGAAATCAATATTTTAAACATTTTGCTGGTTTTCCCCTTAAGTTCTTCTTTTCTGGCATCTTCAGGAGTTGTTCTTCCTGTTTTCCCCACTGTCTGATCATACACTCAGTGGGAGGAGGTCCAAATAGTATCTCTGAAGCTCTATTTCTATGCTTTTTGCATAGCTGGTTACATTCATTTTGCAGAGTAAGACAATTGCTTACCAGTATTTATCTTTTTATTTTTTTACATCTTTATGGGCTCAGAATGCTCCAATCCTTGTCGCATCTGCGCACTCTCCACCTCCACCACCAATACAGCATCAGCTGATGTTGGTACAATAAGGCTCGTGATTGGAGGAAGCCTGTTTGACAAGGTATGGGCAGCTAGCTATGCACCCGCACTGACTTTTGTGTATAAGAAGCCCCTCAATTTTTAGTCTACCGATTTTAGAAAAAGTAGTGTCTTATACACGGAAAAATACGGCATTTGAAAATTAGACTTCACAGAAGCACAGCTTTTTTCTTCTTTTGGACAGAAATAGGTATCATTTAAAAATTAATAGAGCATATTTTAACTGGTCAGACCTGACATTATAGGACAGAGTTACTGCTCTAACTAAAATATTTTATGAAAGTAAAATTGGTGTAAGTAGCAACATGCAATTAGACCTCCGGGGGAAGCCCACATACAAAGACAAAGAAGCAGTGTGTGTGTGGTCATTCCGGAACGAGGTGTGGCCACCCTCTCATCCCTGAGCCTGTTCCTTCCACCAGAGGCACAATAAGATGGAGTCAATGCCCTGCAGGTCTCATCCAGCTCCAGCTTAACTCTTCCTGTCCCCAGAGACTCCAATGGCCAGGAGTGGGAGACAAAACACCAAAACCAGATAAAGCTCTATCCTTTCAGAGGAACAAACTGAAAATGCACTTTAAAATACACCAATAGCCCGGCTGGCATAGCTCAGTTGTTGAGCATCAACATAGGAACCAGGAGGTCAAGGTTCGATTCCCGGTCAACATACATGCCCAGGTTGCTGGCTCGATCCCCAACAGAGTGTGTGCAGGAGGCAGATGATCAATGATTCTCGTTGATGTTTCTCTCTCTCTCATTCTCCCTTCCTTTCTGAAATCAACACAAATATATATATTTAAAAATACATCAATAGGTGCCATGGCTGGTGTTTCTCAATGGTTAGAGAGTCAGCCTGGGGTCAGAGTTTCAATTCCTAGACAAGGGCATGCACCTGGGTTGGAGATTCAATCCCCAGCCTGGATCAGGATGTACATGGGAGGCAACCAATCTATGTGTTTCTCTCACATTGATGTTTCTCTCTGTCTCACTCTGTCTCTCCCTCTTCCTCCCTCCTTTCCATTCTCTTTAAAAATTTTAGTTAGTTAACCCCCTTGGGTGAGGGTTAACTAACTAAAATCTATCTATATATATAAAAGCCTAAATGACTGGCTGGTAGCTATGACATGCACTGACCACCAGGGGCAGATGCTCAATGTAGGAGTGGAAACCACAGGCATGGAAACATGGAACATGAATCTCGGAGGGAAGCAGGTGGGAAGGGAGAGAAGAGATTAACCAAAGGTCTTATATGCATACTAGAGGCTCAGTGCATGGACTCATGCACCAGCCTGTACTCTCTCGTAATCCAGGACTCCTTGGGGATGCTGGCCTGCTGCCTGCTGCTCCTGCCTGTTACTCCCACTTATACCAGCTCTGCTGCGCCTGCTGTGGGCTCACACCCAGTCAGTCCCAATAGGGAGAGGCTAGTACTGCCTCAGTGGTGCTTGTTATCTGTGAGCCCTGCATCTGGTGCCTGTTGGTCAGCTGAGCACTGACCAGCAGGGAGCAGCTCCTGCATTGAGGATCTGCCCCTGGTGGTTAGTGCACATCATAATGACAGGTTGGCCAGTCGTTCGGTGCAGAGAGCACCTAGGAAGCACATGGACCTTTCTTTAAATTGTCAGCTGAATCCAGAGTGGTCCACAAACCCTCGCCTTGGAAACCCATTCTGACAAAAAGCAGAAGTGTTATCAGCTTGACCTTCATTTCAGCCCAGGTGCCAAGGGGTGGGTGGGTTTTATTAGGTAAATCCAGCCAAGCACCAGCAACAAATAGGAAAGCTTCCTATTTGGGATATAAAATAAACATGCTGCATTGGCTCTGGGTCACTGTCTCTCCATCAGAAGAGGGCAGTGGTCCACCTGGTCCCAGCTTTTCCCTACTATCTCTGTGTCTGTTTCTTTCTTTCTTTCTTTCTTTCAATTTTCTCAATCCCCAGCTGCCCCTACTCAGGAACTGAACCTGCTCTCTAGCTGCGCTGGACATGGAAAAGAAAAATATTTACAGTTCAGTCGCTTAGGCTTTTATATATATAAATTCTAAAGCCAGTTTTCTATTTCAAGATATAAAAACATTAGTGTTTGATTTCACAGGTGTCTATTTTTTAACTAAAATATTGCTAATTTTAGAAACAATTTTTGAAATAGCAGTGAACAGAGTATAGGACAAGCATATGTTGTATACTAGACAATGTTTTTTTTCTTTTATTCTTATTTTTATTTTCTTTTATTATTGACAGCATTACAAATGTTTCCCATTTCCCCCTCCTTTACCTCCTTCCATCCCGCTTCTTCCTACCCCCACCCCCTAAGGTCTTCACCACCCTACTATTCATGTCCATGGGCTATGCATATAAATATATAAGTTCTTTTCTTAATAAAAAAAAGTAACAGAGTTTGAATCCAAATGATTTTGAAGTTTTCCTTTGGGTTCCATTGGGTCATAAAAGATACCTTTGTGCTTCCAGATCCAAGTCCATATTATGTTCTCTCCCCTCCATTTATTTTCCTTCTAGCCATGTCTTTTCTCTTCCTGTGATTACAATTCTTATTTGAGTTTCCATCATGTCATTACATACTGGAGGGTTTGTCTCTGTTCCTTCATATATTGAAACCATTCATTACACATTTGCAAAAATATTTTTCCTTGGACACTGTTTCTACCAAATTATCCCTTCAGTCAAGAACTTCAATCTTGTTGGGATCCATATTTTAGTGGTTCATTCACTTGTCTGTTCATTCAACAAATTTTACTGAATGTTTACCTCATGCTAGGCACTGTTCTATGTACGGAGGATACAATAGTGAATAAGACAGACAAAGAAAATCCTTGCTCTTATGAAACTTATATTTACTAACTAGAATCCAGTGGACCCTTCATTCTCTACCAACTATCCTATATAATAAAAGGCTAATAGGCAAATCGACCAAACAGTGGAACAACCGGTCGGTATGATGCACACTGACCACGAGGAGGCAGAAGCTCAATGCAGAAGCTGTCCCCTGGTGTTCAGTGCACTTCCACAGAGGGAGCACCCCTCAGTCAGAATGGGCTCGTGGCTGCCCATGAGCAGTGGTGGTAGCGGAAGCCTCTCCTGCCTCCACCTCAGTGTAAGGACCCCTCAGGAGATGTCTGCCGCCAGGGGCAGTGTCCAAGGGGTCCCAGACTGCCAGAGGATGCAGGCCGGATGAGGGATCCCCTCAGCCCCCTAAAACATGAATGTCATGCACGGGGCCTCTAACGTCTAATAAGACTCTGCCAACCTTCCCTTTTTCTGTTCTTTCCATGTCTCCCAGTTCCTTCCTCACCAAGCAGCAGGTGAGTTACCTTCCAACACAGGTTCTTTGAGCCCAGCAGACTGTTTCTTACTCCATTCCTGCTCTCCACCATGTTCTCATCCTCCCACAGGGTGTGTGCCTTCGCTGGTCCTCACACATGGGATATCCTCTTTCCTCTCATTCTCCACATTTTGGCTCAAATAGCACAATGAGTATTTTCATCTCTAACAGCTCCTCTGAGGTCTTCCCTGTACTGTTCTCATTTACACTTGATGGCGAACCCCTTTAAGTAGTCACAAGCTATTTCACAGGGCTTCGCTTGCTGCCTCCAGATGAACAGATAAGTACGAATACTCCAAACTCCAATCGGGTCTGCGAGGCAGAGCAAAGCGAGTGCTGGGCCAGCAGCAGGTGATCTGGTTTCTCTGTGGCCGTGACCTCCAGCATGTCACCGTGAGCACCTGGAGCACCTCATAGCGGGACAGACTCCGCTACCTCCCTCCCCGAAAGGAGGCAGTTTGACCAGGAACATGGGTGGCCTATCCAACCTTCCTTTCCATTCTTCAATTCTATTACTTTGGTTTCTGCAATAGTGATTTTTTTAATAACGGCATTCTTTTTAAAATTAGATTTGTTGGGATGGCATTGGTTGATAAAATTATGTAGGTCTTAGGTATACAATTCTGTAATATACCATTTGTATATTGTATTGTGTCTTCACCACCTCAAGTCTCCTTCCATCACCATTTATCCCTACTGCATTCTCTTTTACCTCCCCCACCCATTTCCCTCTGATAATCACCATACTGTTGTCTGTGACTGAGTGGTTTTTCTGCTTCACACACTGATACAGTTTAAACTCTGTGCCAGTGCTGGGTCCAAGGCCACTCAGCAAATGTCCC